ATAGAAAAGAGGTTTTTAAAGGTTGAATAAAAGATCCAAGAAAGTTTATTCAGGCTGATTCAGTAAATCTTCTTAAATTAGGCTTCATAGTAAAGGTTCCAACAGTGAGATCTGAGGAAGGGGAGCATTGAATGGATCAGATAGGATCTTTTTTTCTCCTTCTTTTAAGTCAACATTGACAACATCAGATGACTGTAAATAATCAATGCATTAACAGTATTGCATTGTGAAAAAGCGAGGTACATATTTCTTCCTGATCTGTTCTGATTCTGGAAAAAAACATAAAGTCATGTCCCATTCTGAGAAACAACACATTAAGAAGGATTCTGACAAGCTGGGGCACATACAGGAGAGAACAAAAAGGGTGGCAAAGAGTCTGGGGATCATGAAATATAAAAATGATCTAAGATTAACAATTTCTAACATGGAAAAGATAAGGACAGATCCATGATAGTCTTCCAATACTGAACCATTGACACTGAGGCGAGGCAGTAGGTTAATCCCTTGGTGGCTTTAGCTAACCATTCCTCTAGTCCTTCATCCACTCTACTGTCCAGATGATTTTTCAAGACACAAATCTCAATATGTCATTGTCTGTGGTGACTCCCCTCTGAGTAAGCATGTAGCCAATCTCCAGGCCAAGTAAAAGGGTTTGAGCATTTCAGAAGGATCTGATAAGACATTTGCCCCAATCAGATTGCATTCTGGGCAGCTGGATGCACTTTACACGGAGTTAAGGGCCATCAGCATCAATTATGATGACCTTTAGAACAATAGCTCACAGCCCATATTAAAGATCCCGAAACAGGTCTTATTAGCTTTCTCACCTCTGTGCCTCTGTTTACAATGTTTCCTTATCCAGGAAGTTAGCTGTGTCACTAACTTTCCATTGTCCTACAGGATCTGATTGAAGATTCACCAATCCAAGAGCTTTCCCTGAACATCACCTTCCATTTTTACCCAGATGAGTTGGGTGTCCTTCTTCTATATTAAAATGCCACCTTGCACAAACCTTTTATAGAAAGTATTGAATTGCTTTGCAATCACCGATTTACTTGATAGTAGGGCATAAGAGCATAAACTGAGATACATCTGTATATGAAAATGCCTTTATTTGCACAAAATATGTGCATGGAGAGAAAGGGACTGTGAGGGGGAGGTTCTGGTGGCCAACATGGAAGAAAGGTGGGGAAACCAAGAGAGCAACTTAGTGGTTGGCCCTCAATCTGGGATCTGATTTGAAATCCTGGCCCCAAGGACTAAGTCCAAGTCCTATGGAGAAAGAAGGGCTACAGACAAAAGCTTTAGGAACTGAAAGATTTGGAAAAAATGGGGTACATACAAGACTGTTTGGGGCCAAGTCACAAACTATAACACATGGTAGGGAAAGTGAGCCCTCTTCCCACTTCTACACTCATTACCCAGCCTTGCTCAGGTTTGAGAAGGCCCCAGGTGCCTCTGAGACAGTGCAATGAATTCTGGAGTAGGCAAGGAAGGCCATGGCCAGCAGATGCTGCTCTGTTATGTCTAGAGACAGGATTTAGGAGTGGACACTTAGAAAAATGATGCAATAAAATTGTTTTGGTTTTGTCTGTTTAAATCTTGGGGATTTCCAGAACTACTTCAAGAGTGGCTTTTGCAAGGGGCTGGTTCTTACACTACAAGGGAGAAATGACCAAGCAGCCAAGTGTAAATTATAACTGTTAATGTGACTCTACTTACAGCCATGGTCTGGAGGCCTGGTGAAATCTATTTATGGTTATATTAAATTCTTAAACTACTCCTACACCCATCCATTGGCTTTGAGATCTTTGAAGGCAGAGACTGCTGGTTTTTAAAAAATCCCTGTAGCCCTATTACCTATCTGGGTTCCCACCACAGAGTAGTTGAATTCAACATAGGGTTATTGAATGAAGAAATATAACTAATGAAACAAGGACTATCTTTAATAGACAAATTTAGGACACATGTGTGGAAATTATAGGAATGTAAAGTGCCTTTCTAACAATTAGAAATCCTTCTCAGTGGCGGGAACCTGGGTGGCTCAGTCAGTTGAGCATCTGACTTGATTTTGGCTCAGGTCATGATCTCACAGTGGGTCATGGGATCAAGCCCTATGTCAGGCTCAGCATGGAGCATAGAACCTACTTGGGATTCTCTTTCTCTTTCTCCCCCCACTTCTCTCTCTGCCTCTTCTCCACTTATACTCTCTCAGAATAAATACATAAACTTAAAAAAAAAAAAAAGAAATCCCAATGAACTTAAAAAGCTCATGGTGACACAGTGCAAATTTTATCACTGGAGGAGTTGTCAAGGATGCCCTTAGAGGAGGTACATGCCTCATGGAGAGAAATAGATCAAATCATTTCTAACTCTCAAACTGCTTGGTATTACTTACATGAAGACTGAGAGGAGTGTGGCATGACAAAGGAGTTAGCCCAACAGGACAATATGTAAAAATGATGAGTCAGCAACAAAATTGGTTTTTTAAAAAAAGTCAGCAAGGATGGTCTATAAAAATCAGCAAGCCCCAAGCCAGAATTCATCAGAATTAAACCAGTATCCTGAAACAGTGTTGCATGATGCCATAGACATTATCCTCAAAAGCTATCCTATTATAACTTAGAATGATATCCAGAGGACTAAGGTATCTAATGGATATTATCTATAGTAAAGATGTTGAGTGATGAAAGGTTAAAGGAAAGATTTACAGCGTATTGAGAGCAGGCTGTCATTTGTAGACTCATAGCCTGTTTCAATGACTGTTCTACAGCCTCTGGCGAAGTAAATGCTAGAGCCACTTGTCTTTATTCCTTTAACTTCCAATATATGACCGAAGGATCCCACATCTACAAGAGGGAAATTACTAGACAATGCAGAAAAGGTCTTCAGAGATAAATGAACATTCTGCATTAATTTAAAGGCCACAAATAGAATGATGGAGAGTACTATTTTATAATGTCAAAGTTCAAAGGCACTTTTCAAATGTCTTTTTTAAAGAAAATCTGACCTTTCTTTCTTCACTTCTTTCTTTCTTTATTATCAGAAAGTTAGCCAAGGGCAGTCTGGGCCTTGGGTCATTTCATTTTGACATGGGAGTTCTTTCAGCATTAAATATAATCAGAAGATCAGAAATATTTAACTCTGCAGTGGCCAAGAGGACACATCCAGTAGCATAAAAAAGAACAACGCTGAAGTGCAAGGATTTCAAAACTTGTACTTTAATAACTCCATAAACCTCCTCCCCTCCATATATGAGGGAGAACTTAATGAGGCCATGACTAGCTAAAGGAATGAGTATGAATACACATTTATTCCTAATGTATTTCACATTATTTTACGTGAAAATTTTAGAAAACAGTTTAGTACACCATTAGTAACTCTCAAAGTATCTTTTTTAGGTGTAGATTAGCTGACATTACATATAGCTGGGGACATAAATATGTTTTCATGAAAACAAAAACCTCTTACAAAAGTACCCCTTTTCCCTTTTAAAAGGGATAGTTTACAGACGGCAAAATTTAGTGTATAGTTCTGCAAATTTTGACCAATGCAGTCATTCAACCAGCACCACAGCAGGATGCAGAACAATTCCATCACATCCCCAATTTCCCTGTGTCCCCTTGTAGTAAACCCTCTCTCCATCTCTAGCTCCTGGAAGCTACTGATCTGCTGTCTATAATATTGCCTTTTCAAGAATGTCCTATAAATGGAATTATACAGTATGTAGCAAAGGCCTCTTTTAAATTTCATGCACTGGATAAAAATTGAAGTAACTAAATGAAGTGTCGATTTTAATGTACTGATTACTATTTCCCGAATTTGAGGCAACAATAGGATATATAAAATCAAATTACCCTTGAATATTACATCTTGAAGCAGGTAGTACCCAGCCAACCTTTTGAATATATCTAAAGATCTTTAGGACTTCAATTTCGACATATTGAATCAAATCTCTCAGTGCTGGTTCTGAGAATTGTTTTTATCAAGTTCTCCGAGTTTGATTCTGATTGATCAGCCAGATTTGGGAAACATTAACCCAACAGACATTCACTATATGAGATTAACTCCCAGCCTGTAAATTATGTGTGGCAATAGGATTAAAGTTTAGAGGTTGGGAGAGTTTTATCTAGGTGACCTTGTCCTTAGATGTGACTATGAATCTTACTGCCTGCAGAACCTTTAAGAAGTCACGTAAACTTCCTGAACCTTGGTTTTCTCCCCTGTCATGCAGGGGTAATGATGCTGACTTCATAGGATTATTTAGGGGATTAAATGCATATCAAGCTTTTGGATAGAACCTGACACACTTAGCACTCAGTGAATAGAAGCTGTTTATCTTGCTGGAATTGGTATCAGTATTAACATCATCATCATCTTGCTGTCATATAAATGCTTTACTTGTCTTTCTCCAGATTTCTGCATTTTGGTCAATTTCACTATTTTTTAGCCCTTTTTCTAGAAGTGACCAAAGTAAACAGAATCCATTTTTGTAGCAGCCGAAGTAGTGTTCAGGGCAGTGCAAAGCTAAGAGAAATTCACTGACTGTCCCCAACCCTCACTTTTACCTCAAAGATACCAATGGGAACAAAAATGAATTACTGTATTCACTCTTTCCAAATATATATATTATTGGCCAAATATAAGCAAACAAAAGGTAGAAGAGAAGTAAAGGGCCAGAATAAAGCAGAAAATTAGGCTGTCTGTGTAATTAGGGAATATCTAAATATTGACTTCATTTGTTTGCAGTTTTATACTGCAATGTATACACATGTATTTTTCAACTATAGTTTGTCAAAAATTTTTATTATTGAAGTATAGTTGACACACATAGGCAACAGTTTTTATTTAAGCTGTGAAACATAGAAGAGTGATGATATTCAGCTGCACTTGCTGATCTAAAGAAAGAACTCCTTTCCTCACAGAATTACACAATGCTGCCAACACCAAGGACCAAAGACTAGGTGGCTAAAGACAAGCCTGAAACTCACAAGCCCTACCTGTTCTCAGCATCGGCGCTGCACTTTGGGGACATCAATTCAAAGGATTTGGTAAACTTCACCACCTGCCACACAGAAAGACATAAATCCAAATCAATTAAAGCTTTCTTGCAGCTTAAAATAATGCAATAAGCAGCTTTCATTTTTATAATGATGATTACAATAATTGGAGATTAAAGAGCAATTTTAAGTCGAGAAATCTCACGAGACAGAAGAAGAAACTTCTATCTTACATTTTGTATTTTATGTCTAACATGGCTTACATTGCCAAAGTTTTAATACATTTTACTAAATATGTATATCTGTTTTTTCAAGTTTTTATCTAAATTCCAGTTAGTTACTGTGCAGTGTAGTATTAGTTTCAGGTGTAGAATTTATTCAGAATTTCCATATAAACACTGTGCTTATCAGAACAAGTACACTCCTTAATTCCCATCACCTATGTAACCCACTCGCCTCCCTTGCTGGTAACCATGAATTTGTTCTTTATAGTTAAGAGTCTGTTTCTCGGTTTTCCTCTTTTTTTCCCCCAATCATATGTGGAATTTAAGAAACAAAACAAACATAGGAAAAAATTAAATATATACATATATATGTTTTTACTTATTTGAGAGAGAGAGAGAGAGAAAGAGAGAGAGAACAAGTGGGGGAGGGGCAGAGAGAGAGGAAAACACAATCTGAAGCAGGCTCCAAGCTCTGAGCTATAACCACAGAGCCTGATGTGGGGCTTGAACTCATGAACCATGAAATCATGACCTGAGCTAAGTCCGACACTTAACTGACTGAGCCTCCCAGGCACCCCAGCTATGTATATATTTTTACAATGAGGTGTATACTATCTTGTGGTAGTCTGCCAAGGGATATCTCATTTGAAAACATTAAAAAATTTTTATTGCCCTTTGAATAATCTAATCACTATCCATGGAGAAGAAGGTAGAGACAAAATACCACTCAAAAAGGATGCCCTCCATCAATTCCAGGCTCCTGAAGTTGCCTCCCTGGTTTACCATTGTTCTCAGGTGAACATTTTGTGGCCACCCCCCACCTCTGCTCCAAGGCTAAAGAAGAGAAAGCTATCTTCTTCAAAGATCTTCCCTAATGTGGACACTTTCCTCCTTCACTTGTCTCGTGAAACTGGCATACTCGGTGCAAGAACCTGGTCAAAACTTAATACATTGAAAGAAAATTATGGACACAGAATATGTAAAGGTAGATTTTCTTATTATTAGCTACTAATGAGTTCTTACTATAAACCAGGCTGTACATCAGAAGCTTCTTGGACTATTTAAGTTCCTTATTACAATTCCATAAAGCAGGGATTTTTATTCTCAGTATATAGAGGAGGAAACTAACCCATAATTTTTAAGAAACCTTCTGAATTTCACACAACTAAATGAGGCACCTGGGATTAAGGCAAGTCTGCATGATTCTAGAGTGCCAGCTCTTTCAACAGCGCTAAAAATGTTGAGTGGGAAAAGTACCATTTCTGGCCCTCTTTTGACAAGCTGTACCACATGATAGAAAAACAAGTCCTTTATACTGAGAGGAGTCATCTGAATGTCACTGGATGCTTCCAAGGTTGACATTTAGATTTGCCTTAGCCAGGTGCAGTCATGCTTCAAAGGCTTTTTAAATTAACCACTTATGAGGAATTGATGGGCATCTGCGAAAATGATCTGGAAACTGGGAACAGATTAAATATTAGAACAGCTTTATCAGTGAGGTAATGAACCCAAACTAAGAAAATGCAACATTAGGGAAAAGATAAAAGAAAAGAAAAGCCCATCACAAAGAAAATTGTATGTGACTCATTGAACGCAGGGCAGCGACAATAGACCAACTACAAGCGAATACCCTTGACAACTACAGAGCACATTTCTTTTCATATGCCAATGTGAACTGGGCCTCTACAAAATCATTCACTGTGGCCAATTTTATTTGCTAAAAATGGCCACAACAATATCTCTCATCCTACACTCTTTGCTACAATATGACCCTGCCATCTTCCTACCAAGTGGTAGGGTCTATGTTCCTCCCCCTTGAATCTAAGTGGGCTTCTGACCACTTTGACGGTTAGAGTATCTAGAATGCATGTCATGTGCTTCCTGAGATTGTCATAAAAGCCAATGCAGCTTCTGTATTGCCTGATGGAATATTTGTGCCTGGAGACCTGAGATACCATGTAAGAAGTCTAACTGCACTAAGGCCACTATGCTGAAAGGGAGCCAAAAACCACAAAGAGAGGCCGTGTGTAGATGCTCTGGTAAGCAGCTCCAGTCTTTAAGTCATCCCAGCCTAGGAATCAGACATAGGAGTGAACAAATGTAAAGTTGATTTCAGTCCCCAGCTATTAAGTCATCCCTGATCTCCATGTTTTCCCAACTGTGGCCCCAGATAACCTGAAAAAAAGAAAGCCAGCCTTCTGATATCCTCTCCAGATTCCTGATCCATGAGATCTTTGACCATAACGTGATTGGTTTAAGCTTCTAAATTTTGGGTTTATTTGTTACACAGCAAAAATAACCAGAACATTTATCTCAACTGAGGACTTAAACAGAAACCAATCACTTGGAAATCTCCATCCAGTTGTAATACTCCGGTTTCACAAGACTTAGCAAGCCACAAAGAAACTATTTCCTATCACCAGATAATAAATCCCTCAAACTATACCCCAAATAATTTTTTTTTTACAAATAGTTTATTGTCAAATTAGTTTCCACATAACACTCAGTGCTCATCCCCAAAGTGCCCTCCTCCATGCCCATCCCCCCTCCCCCCCTCATCCATCAGTCCTCAGTTTTTGTCAGCATTCAAGAGTCTCTCCTGGTTTGCCTCTCTCCCTTTCCCCCACCATTTCCGCCCTTCTTCTCCCCCTTGTTCCTCCGTCAAGTTCCTCCTAATCCTCCTATACGTGCAAACATATGATATTTGTCCTTCTCTGCCTGACTTATTTCGCTCAGCATAACACCCTCAAGGTCCATCCATGTTGCTACACATGGCCAGATTTCATTCTTTCTCATTGCCATGTAGTATTCCATGGTATAGAGAAACCACATCTTCTTGATCCATTCATCTGTTGATGGACACTTAGGCTCTTTCCATGTTTTAGCTCTTGTGGAGAGTGCTGCTATGAACATTGGGGTACATGTGCTCCTATGCCTCAGCATTTCTGTATCCCTTACCCCAAATAATTTTTAAAGTTACAATAATAATAAGGTAAATAGTAGTAGCATTTCATTTCTGTTTGCCTAATGGGAAGTTGTTACAGATTTTAAAACGGGAAGTTAGTCCTCTATCTCTGCTTTGATCACTCCTCATTTGTGATTTCTTTCCATTATTTCACTAGATGACCGAAAATTCTTTTCCTATTTTTGTCATGTTTATGCTATTGCTATGGACTGTATGTTGGTGTCCCCTAAAAATCCATATGTTGAAACCCTAATCTTTAATGTGATGCCATTTGGAAATGGGGTCTTTGAGGGGTGATTAGGTCTAGAGGGTGAAGCCTCATAGGGATTAGTGCTTTTATAAGAAGAGGCAGAAAGAGCTTGCTTCTTTTCATTTTCTCTGGTGTGAGGATACAATGAGAAAGTGTTCATCTAAAAACCAGAAAGACTGCCCTCACCAGGCACCGGATCTGTCTGCCCTCACCAGTACCTTCATCTTGGACTTCTCAGCCTCCAGCACTGTGAGAAATACATGTTTGTTCTTTAAGCCATCCATTCTATAATAATTTGTTGTAGCAGTCTGAACTAAGATAACTGCAAATGTGTATGAGGAATTTTGCAAAATTATGACCAATCTTTTATGTAGGTATCAATGCTTACAACATACTGGTAAGGTACATATTATTATCCTCATTTTACTTAAAGAAAATTAAGGCTCAGAGAGGTTAAGTAGTTTCCTGGACACCATAAAACCAATACCCTGCAGAAATGGGAACTGAACTGGATCAGTCTGATTCTACAGCCCCCACTCTCCCCACTACTCCCTGCTTTTGTAAACATGAGCAAGTGGTATTGTGAGGGTGCCTGGGTGGCTCAGTCAGTTAAGCATCTGACTTGATTTTGTTTTAGGTCATGATCTCATGGTTCATTTCATGAGTTCAAGCCCCATGGGGGGCTCTGCACTGACAGCATGGAGCCTGCTCGGGATTCTGTCTCTCCCTCTCTCTCAGTACCTCCTGTGTTTGTTCTCTCTCTCTCTCTTTCTCTCTCAAAATAAATAAATACACATCCTAAAAAGTGGTATTGCAACACCAAATTATTTGGACATGCCTCCTTCAGAGCCAGAATAGTTAGATAAACTCTGCCTTTATTTATCAATTCTATAAATATACTTTGAGTATACATTAAATGCCTGAATTTGAGTACACATAGACTAAAAGTAGCTTGAAGTAAAATACTTGCCTTAATATAAAACTAATCAAATTGCCAATAAACTATCAACTATTACTGCATTTGAAAATAAAAAAGGAGGTACCTTTTAACTCTCTGACCTGACAGATGAGATTAAACTCTCCAACATTACTAAGAACACTTCATTTGGCTTCCTTTTTACTGTTGATTAGAATACTCTGCAACTCTAAAAGGATAGATATTAATTTCTGAAAAAGTGACAGTAACGCAAATTGGGTTGTAATGAGGGAGTAAGCTCCCCCCCCCCCCCGTGGGCTTATTAAGGATCATTCTGACAAAGCCACATTATACTTGGAAAGGCATGCAAAATTAAAGAATTTATCACAGGTCCTAGAGAGGGGTGCGTGATATGCTCAAAGGGTCACATAAAGTCACCCAAAGCCAAAAGTTTAGTCACTGCAAGCAGAGAAAGAACAGAGCAAGGACCCATGGGTACATGCCTTTATTGGAGTCAGGGATAAAGGTAGCTTGTGGCACCTGGGAAGCCTTTGGATAATTTGAATGTAACTGGACCAACACAGAGAGGAGGGAAGGGGTAAATTGAGAAAGTCATCATGAGGCTTATCCTTTAAACACACATGATGAGGACAAGCACCCAGAAATAGACAATAACTAGGTAAAATTCAAAACAAGCAGGGTGATCAGGC